GGCGGGGGTGGCGGGGAGACGTGCCCACCCTGCGTGGCCAACCCCAGAGCCGGGCGGGCAGAGAGGCCCTCTGCCACGTGACCCTGCAAGGGTGATGCCCCTGCTGACTCACGCACAGGCCCCGGCCCCACCTGTGCCCTGCTCTGCTGGGCACAGATGGGGTCACTGCCACACGGCTGCGCCGAGTGGTCAGGCCTGGCCAGTGTGGCCAGGGATAGATGCTGCTTCCGATAGCCCCTTGTCCCCATTTCACAGATAAGAAACGGAGGGTGAGATGGTGACGTGTCCGGTGTGGCTGTGGCGGCTCAGGGCCGCGTGGCTCAGCTGGCCCTGCACCGGCCTCTGACCCTGGGCTCCTGGAGAAGCCAAAGGCCGTCAGCCTCCACGCGTGTCCCTTTATCTATAGCTCTTACCGCGCACAGTCACTGAGAATGCATGTCACCTTCAGGAGCTCAGGCAGGTGGCCAAGGGTGCGGGTCAGAGGTCAGGCCCACCTGTCACCGGCTGGCTTGGGTCCTCTCGTTCATGCAGGAGGTCCCAGCTCATCCAGTTCACGCACAGCGAGATTTGCCGCTTGGGGTGTCCGTGCAGACAGCGGAGGGTCTGGCCTCATGAGAGGTGGCCCGTGCCTCCGAGTGACACGGCCCTTCACATGGTGATGGACGCCTAGGTGTCTATTTCTCTGGACGTGGCCCGTTCTGGTTTTCAAACACTCATGCCGTGTGGTCACGAATGTGGCCGCTCCACAGCTGCATGCCGGCCGCCACGCCTCGAGGGGAGCAGGCTTCGGCCAGCAATGCAGAGACCCTGCTCTCCAGCTCTGAGTCTCGGGGGCCGTTAAGTTCCCCCTGCCCAGACTCTTAGGACAGATGTAAGCGTTTTTTGCTAACAAAAAGTAAAAATAAAGCAAGCAGCTGCGAGCGTCGGCACGGTCATCACTGAGGAGTCGTGGACGAGGTACAGGAGACTCAGAACGAAGGGCTCGCCCGGCCCCGGCCCGCTGTCCTCGAGGCCCCTTGCAGACAACCTCGGGCCTAAGGAAAGATGGGGGTGCAGGCGGAGCTCTTTGTCCTTCAAGAGGCCGCTTGCAATGGCTCGAGGTTGCCTGCTTTCCCCCTGTCGCTGGCCATGCCCTTCGCTGCCCTGTGAGGGGCCTTCTCCCCAAAGCTGCTCCGCGGCGTGTCCTGCCTGCCCACCCTCCTGTGGGCAGCTGGGGACCTGGCCTCTGGTGGAGGAGACCGCAGCCCTCCCGGAGGCGTCACGCAGGCCTGCCCTTCTCTCCTGGGAGACTCTGCCCGAGTGGTGTCCCTGGGCGGTGGCCCCACACCCGCACCGGCGCCCGCGGGGGCTCACGTGACTCTGAAGTCTGTTCCCCCGACCTGCACTTGCCGAGGCGTTTCTGCTACTGTCACGACACCAGACGCAGGACGATCGCACACACGTGCGGAGTGCGCGCCCAACCGCCGGCCTCCGCCTGAGTGGGGCTCTCTCGTGACCTAGA